TAGCTGGAGATCCTCATACTTGAAAATGAGGAGTTGCTGGCGTGATCTGTGCCAGCAGTGGCTTAGGAGCCCAGTCCAGGGCTAAACACCAGCAAGAGCCTTTGTATGGAGCTGTTGCTCTGCAGCTCTCGGGCTTGCCTCCCAAAACTACTCATCCAACGAAACCTCCCGTGCTCATGCTGAGCTTTGATTCTGCAGGCCCCCCTGTTCCTCTTGCTGATACTAATGCCCTTGGTGGCATCAGTTCCCATAACCACAGATTGCTATGTAAAATCTTTATTGCAGGACTGATCCTTCTGAGATTAATATCTCGGATGAAATGTCGAAAACAACCGTATGGAAGGCTCTCACTATGAACACAGAAACACTCTGAATCCGGGGAGGAAAAAGGTAAAGGATTGCATGTGAACGTGACCGTGCTTCTCTGGGAGCAGGCACCGAGGAGCGTGGCAGCAAACCAGCTCCTCTCTGCTGGGGTGGTCCCACGAACGGGGCTGAACCAGCAGCAGCCGGCAGGTCTTCCACTGATGGTGCTCTCCCTCTTTTTCTCTTTTGTCCCTCAGTTTTCATGTTTAGGAATCTTGACTTTGAAGGAGAGGAGTGAGAACGTGACTCAGGGATGTGCCAACGCAGACACGGGGAGAAACTGCTTTTTTTTCAATTGGAGGATTCCCATTAAAGCCATGCAGATGTTTTCAGTTATCCTTGGTGCGCTTCAGGCATTTGGTATCTCTAGACCAGCAAACTGAGGTGCACATCAGTGTCAATGGGAGTTCGGTGTTGTTAAGCCTCCGTGTGTATGTGTGTGTGTTGTCGCGGTTTTGTAGTGGTAGAGGGACTGCTACCGCTTTATCATTCAGTGCTATTTTTTAATATCTAATTCCTCCTCTCCCTTCTCTTTTTTCCAAATATAAACTCTGAATGTACAAAACCACTTTCTGCTATATTTGATGCATTCTCCACTTTCTTCTTCATCATGACCGGGTTTTTGGTCTGGTTTGGGGTCCTGGCTTTAATTCGCTCTAATGTCCCTTACTGGTAGGAGAGGGATGCCCTCTGTGACAGGGCAACATAGAGAGTGTCCGAGCAGTTGGGCTAAGGCGAAGGAAAAGCATTTGCTCCCTGCGCTCCAGTTTTACAGCAATTTTTTTTTTAATTTACTTTTTTTTTCCATCAGCCTGGCAGCTGCAAAATGCAGAAATGCCACTTTCTTGTCCCCTGGCTGTAAACTAAATGTAAGGAGCACTTAAAATTGAATACCGTTAATACACTGTATGGTCGTGGGAGCGGCCAGGTGAGACCTGGGGCTCTTTGCCCCTGGGCTGCCCGCTCTGTTGACCCTCTGCTTTCCTTCCTTTGATCTCCCTGGGACTCTGTGTAGTTTTTTTTTCTTCACCCCTGTCCTTGCAAAGTCTCTTCTCTCATGGGGTGGGATGAGCCAGGAGGAAAGTGGGAAGATGCCTTTTCCTGCTCCCCTCCCCTACCGCTTTGCAGGGAGAAGCTGTTAAGCAGAGATGGTTCTCGCGCTCTCTTCACATTTTTGGGGGGTCGTCGGGTTGCGGTGTCACCCCAGGCACACGCGGTCGAGTCGGATGACCGTGGAGCCTGAGAGGAGAGGACAATCCAGTAGAAAAGGTCCCCTCGCAGCCCTCTGCCTTGCCGTGGGCTGGTCCCGGCCCCTGCGGGAGCCTTTTCGTGCCTCGAACCCAACCCCAAATGACAACGGCAAGTTGTTGCTGCCTGCAAAAACGAGTGCAGAAAAGAAAATATCAACTCACTGTCTATGGATGAAAGCGGCACATCACCAAGCGGGGCCAAAATCAGACGGCTTTTTGGGGCTGGGGTTTTGCAAACTGGGTTGCCGATGGGGCACAGTGACTTTTGAAGTGGGAGGAGACTGGTTTAGCCCTTCGAAAAGGAGGAGAAGCAAAAAAACAAAACAAAACAAACCCCCAAAACCCAGGCTTGGAGGAAGGGAAAGGTGCAAAGCCTGGCTTTTCTTGCTGCTATTCCTCTGCGATGCCCGTGCACATCCCTTCCACGCTGGCTGCGAGCGCGGGACTGCGCTTGCTGCTCCGACGTGCCGTCTCTCCCTCCCCAGAGAGAAAAGGTCCTGGTGGAGGAGAGCCCTGATCTCTCCACCCTTTGGAAAATAAACTTTAATTCCTGTGGAGGTATTAGCACTAAGCCAGTGAATGGCAACTGGGCACAGAGCTGGGTGGTTGTGGTACCAATCCTATTGCTGCCCTGCCTGGAAAATGGGATTATTGGACTTCTAACGTAGGACAATTTTGGTTTTCCCTTTTTATTTTCCTCTATGTAACAGGAGAGAACCGGGCTGGACTCCTTTCCTTCCCGACAGGGGCCAGGGGCTGGGATTGTTTTCAGCACGTGCCTGGCATCTCTCCAGCTTAGAAAGAAAGAAAGAAACCCCCTCCGGAAGGAAAACGGTGCCAGTTTTAATGAAGAGCGGGCTGGGTCCAGCTCTGCGGGAGTCTGCATCTCCCCTGGCCTCAGGGGGCTGCAAAATATTGGCGGCTGCCTTGGCGATTGCTAATTTAAAAAGCAAACCAGGCTTCCACGGTGTGCCCCAGCGCGGCTGTCTTCTCCGTTTGAAGCTTTGTTTTTGCTATTTACAGGGCTAGTGTTTTTTCTTTAATTATTATTTTTTTTTTAATGAAATGAAAGCTGAGGTCTTGCTTAATAATGTGACTCTGGGCCATCTAAAATGTAGTCGTAACCCCCCCCGGGCTGGATGTGAGACCCAGTGCTACGGCTGCCTGCCCCCTTTATACACCATAAACCTGTGGACGGCTCCTTATTTTGGAAAGATTTAATATTTCCCTGTGCAGAGGAAAATTATGTTGGGGGGGAACCCTCTCAAAGGTGTTCCTGGAGTTGCTTTAGGACTAAAAAATAAAAATAAATCTTTGAAGTGACCTGTGATGCTTCAGATGGCAGCAAGCCCCCTTCCCATCGATATGGGATGGGTGTTTTCCTCATCTTCGGTGCCTTAGAACAGCTCCCCAAATCGCCCGTGGGCCCCTTCAAAAGTTTCCTAAAATGAAGTGTATGGACATCCCTAAGGGGGGGAAAAAAAGATGTAAAAAGGTAATAAATAAGGTGCTGATACTTTTTTTTTTTTTTTAATTATATTATTTTCCCCCAGTGTGCTACATGTAGAAATACAGAAATTATTTTTGTTTTGGAGATGCTGAAATATATTTATTTATTGTAAGAGATGATCTAGTTTGGAAATGCTCTGTATTGTAAATAAAACTGAGGGGGAAAAAAAAAATCTACCAAGCGAATCTGTGTTCTTTATCACTTTGAATCTGTGTGATTTTGGTGTGTGTGTGGTATTTTATTTTTAAATTGGATTTATTTTGGGTTCATTTTGTGAAACTCAAGTAACAGAAATCCATGTCGCCGCCTCGTGGGTCCCGTCGGTGAAGTGTTGCTGCTGACTGACAGGTTCCACCTGCCAGAGCCGTGTCTGTCTTTGCTTTTTCTCTTGTTGCCCATTGAAAGTAATGGGAAAATAATACAATAAAAGTCTCGTTTGTCTCGCTGTGCCACTCCAGTGTCTTTTGAAGGGTGGAGAGGAGTCAGAGGTGTCGTTGGAGCTTGTTAAGGGGGGAGTGGGCAGTGCTGATTTGGGGGAAATCCATCTCCCTGGGGTTTGGGTCAGGAACTAGCTGCTTGGGGAAAGATTTTAAATTAGTGTGGGGTTTGAGGTTTTTTTTTGTTGTTTTAAGAATTATTTTATTTAAAATTATTTTATTTTTTATTTTTATTTTTTTTAATTTATTTTTTAAATTTGACTCATTTATTTTTATTTTATTTATTTCTCTGTGCAAGTACTTGCAATGAGCTCTGTGTTGCAGGAGGGAGAGGACAGCAGTGTCCCATGTGTCCCTTCTGCCAGACCCTGGGGTGTGCAGGGAGTCCATTTGCAATACAATTTATTAACATTAACATTAACATTAAATCCAGAGAGGTTCTAGTTATCCTTCATATAGTATTTATTTATTTTTAAAAATTTCCTTCAAAATCCCCTCTGGCACAGGTCTGTGGGGTCAGGCAGGTGCATCCTCATTGCCCTTTTACCTAAAATTGGAGGAATTGAGAGAAAAACGGCGCATCTGAGCCAAGCTGGGCTAGAGGCCAGTGCCTTGAAATCCCCCAGGACCAGCAGCGTGTGGGATCCTGACGGGGGTCTCGGAAGGGTTGGAGACATCAGGAACCAGCTGCTGCATTTAGCAAAGGTTTTATTACAATTTAGGGAAAGCCGCAGGATCTGCAGCGCTGTGGGAGCGGTTACAGAGAAAACGAAGCCGGAGAAATCCAGGTTTGGAGGGAAGGTTGATCCATGGGATGAGGCAACTGGGAAACACTGAATGGGTTAACGCAGCTGCATGTGGTGGATAAATCCTTCCCGTGGAGCATCCGACTACTGCCGGCCCTGGAGGGGTCCAACATCCCCTGGCTGATGCTGCTGGAAAGCCAATGCCTCGATTTGCCATTTAATTGTACCTTAAAAATAAAAAGCAAACAAACACCAAACAGCTTCACGGAATAGAAATTGCCCCTAAAATCAGTTTAGGAGCTTTGAAACAGCGGCAGTGATTTTCTCGTTTGCAAAGGAGCAGCCTCTTTGCTTCGACGAGCCTGAAACATGATGAAATCCCCTATAAATGCAAACGATCCCACCACATTAACACTGACATGAAGCGTAAAATGTCAGAACAAAGCACGATGAGAACGGAACAGTCTCTTCCCGTCGTAAATTAGTAACTCCCCCCACCAGATAGCTTAATTTTCCTTGTTTTATTTTATTACAAATAAACATCGGAGAATCCACGTGAGCCAGCAAAAATGTGGCATCAGGCATAGGAAGCCACGCTCTGCCTTTGTGCCAAACCCACTGATTCGTGGCTACATTTTGAAATTACTCATTTATTCAGTTTTAATTGGCCACGTTTGCTGTTTGGGATGACTTACGCCAGCGGTGGGAACGCAGCCGGGAAGGGGATGCTGCGGGGCTCCTCCTTCAGGTACCTCTTCGTGGAGCTGCCGAAAATAAGAAAACAGCCGGGACGAAACTAAAACTGCATTCTCGATTGGGATCGGGGGCTCGTGGCGTGGTGGGAGGTTATTTCCCAGCATGGTCCCGTTCCCCGCTCCCCTTTTTACCTGTACCGCTTGGTGTTGATGAGCCAGTGCACAAAGTCCTTGGCCTTCATCTTGTCCAGGTAGCGGGTGAAGTCGCTGGTGAAGGTGCCTTCTGAGTGTCGCTTGACGTTGGACGTGAAGCTTCGGGCGCTTCGGGATTCGTGTGACTGCCATCTGCTCGGGAGAGATGGACAGGGGAAGAAAATGTGGTTTAATGCAGATGGTGGCATTCTGCGTCCTCCCTGCAGGAGGTGCCCAGAGCAGGGGCTGTGTCCTGTGAAGTACTTTACTGTGCAGAGCATTCTCCAGAAAAGCTATAATAATACAAAAAAATAATTTTCAGTTTCAGGGGAGTCTGCCAAGCCTGGCCAGGGTTGATCCTGGCATCAAATACATGCAATATCCTAACCCATGTTATTTGCCCTACGTCTTGCTCGGCCGCGGTGGGTTCGTGCCTCTGCCCTGGTCCCCACTTGCCGCTCCTGGGAAGGAGCATGGTGTCGCCCCGAGGTTCAGATCAACCTCCTCCCGCTCCAGGATGGAGAGCTGACGGTGAGGGTCACGGCAAAAGGTCCCCGAAGGGTTTTCATCCCACGCGGCTGCTGTCAAGGATCGGGGCTCAGCACTGTGCTCAAAGCATCACCCTGTCCTGGATTTGCCCCACCGTGTCCCTGTGCAGCCCATCTCTACTCTGACACAGATGAGAAATCCCTGGGGGGGGGGGGGGGGGGACGGGACCACGGCAATGTCCCTGCGTGGGCAGGTAGAGAGCCAGGAGGGAGCTTGTCCAGATAAATACAAAAGAAACAAGCACGTTGCAATAGCCCCGGAGCCGGGAGAGCCGGCAGCAACGGTAAGGGAGAGGGCTGAGCTGCTCCGACAGCCCCTGCCCACGCTGGCCATCTCCCCGGGCCATCTCCACCAGCGTCCCATACCTGGATGTGTCATCCAAGTCCTTGGGGCCCATCTGCCACCCTGCCGGGATCAGCACGGCAAACACCAGCCCGGAGAGGTAGAGCCACCGGATGATCTGCATTTGTCTTTCTGGTGAAGGTAAAAGTCAAGATAGAAACGTCCAGGGCTGCAATCACCATTGATCGCCCCCCCAGCCCCTGTGGGAGCCCTGGCAGCGTGGCACGGGACAGATCCAGCACGAGACAACCTCCTTCCCAGGGGTTTTGGCAGCTTTTTGAGGGGTGCATGTGAAAATCGCATCCTCACAATTACTTATCGGCACGTCTACCGTTGCCTAGGCACAGGCACATAGCCGCAAGAACGGGTTTGTATAATCTAAAGATACAATTTTTTGCAATAAACTTTATCATGAATGTCCCCTTTTCTATCTCGGAGCAATTTTTCTATCTTGAGCTTATCACCAGAGTGCTGGAGAACTTTCCCGACCATTAGGTGCTCAGAAAAGCAGCTTTCAGAAGAGTTGAATAATTAGAGTTTTAAATTTCTTATCTTTGCTGGATGCTGGATGCCTTAGCCAACCCCCACCCTTTATTTGCTGAAAATCAGACTTTTAGTTGCCTATCACCAAGCACTTTCATTACTCAGATTTAATTTCTTCAGAGGTTGGTAGTAAAGAAGGGGGGAAAAGGCACTTACCTTCCGCAAAGACAACCGTTCCCCTAAAAGCAAGATCCTATTTTCCTCCTTCAAGCTGGTTGTGGCTAAACTCTTCTCCTTACCAGTGCTTTTAAGCTTGTTAGCAGGATGCTAAAAGCTGACGGGTAGGTCATCGGTACTCCTGGTTTTAGTTGGATGGGTCATTATGAATCATTACAGGATTTTTTAAGTGGGGCTGTTGCAAAAAAATCTAGTTGTTGCCATATTTTTCAGCTTACGCCTTCAGCGAGGGTTTTTTTTGTTGTTGTTATTGTTGCTGTTTCTCTTATCTTTTCTATTTTTTTCCACTTCTTGGACCAAAGGAGTGACCTGTTGGTTTCATCCTTTCAGGTGAGATGGCCCCTTATTGCCACAGCACATCTTGCATGGAGAAATTATTTCTCTGCCCACAGGGCTGCCCTTTCAAACACCTTCAGTTTGAGTTAAAAAACATTAAGGAAAAAAGCAAGAGCAAAAATGTAGAAGAAGCATTTGGGTACCCAAGCACTTGCTGCTGCTTCCTGCGGTGCAAAATTCGGGTTAGAGCTCACCAGCTGGGCAGACACCACTTTTGATCCAAGCCTGTTTTTTTCCCCCAAGGCCAGATCTGAAATTGGGACCGTTCCCCTGAATTTCTTTGATTTGGGGATGACAGGACACACTGTGGGTGGCTGCAGTTCTGGGTCAGTGTTTTTCCCCACGGGACATCTCAGCCCAGGAGCTGGGGGAGCATCTGGAACTCATCCGACCAAAGACAATAGTTTTGCAGGGCCATCTCCTGGGAAATGGGCTCATTTTTTAAAATCCTTGAGTCCAGCAAAGAAAAAAGGCTTGAGAAGACCAAAACTGAGGGTAGCCCTAAAGAACCGGATCTGGCCATGGAGGAGAGGGTGCTGCCAGCTCCAGGTGGATGCGGAGAAAAGCCCTCAGCTCCCTGAAGATGCTGGCAGATGAGCTTTTGAGGGCTGCTTATTCGGAGGATTGATGGCAGGCTGCATTTCTGGGGCAGTTTTGAGATATTTGGGGAGCTCTTGGCTAAGGAATTGCTATGGTTCAGTGCTCGGGGGACTAAATGTGCCCTTTTCACAGGTGCATGGTCAATGGGCAGAGAAAAGCAAGTCTTAGAAAGCTGAAGCTCTTCACAAGAAGAGATGAGGGTTCCACATCCCGATTTCTCCGCCACTTACTGTCTTCTCCTCCTGGGACCTTTCTTCTCGTGGTTGGGTAACTATTATTATTCTACTGAAGAGATTTCTGTAATTATTGTCACTGTCAAAATATGGCTGGTGTTCAGGGGACACTCATCTTGAAGAGCCTTTTAATTAGGGCCAATAGTGGCCTTATGAGAAAGCCTGACATCAGAGGAGGAAGGTAGGAGATTAATTAGCTCAACCTTCAGAGGAGAGGTCCAAATCTCCTACCCATCACATGGATAGGATATTTATTAATGACACCAAATTAGCTTGTGGTGACACTGTTTGCGATGTCCCCCTGGCCCAGGAAGGCACACGAGCTATCTGCAGCGGTGGGGGCTCAGGAGAGGAGAAATTCAGCTCAGCCAGCGCAGTGCATGTCGTGTTGCTTCTTGGTTTTCTTAATCGCGGCTCCCAGTGTCGGGATGGGCTGGAGAAATGTCCTACAAGACACTTTCTCCACTGTCCACAGGTGATTTTCACTGGCCCTCTGGGACGTGATGGTGTCCCCTTTCCAAGTGTCCTCTGTGGTCTTCCTCCTTCCACCTGGGTTATGTTGCTGGTGGTTCTCCCGCACTGGAGGACCTCACCATGGGGGCATGAACCCGTGTTTTAAAATGCAGATCTGGTTTTTGTCCTATTTTATTACTTGGAGAGGATTTTATGGACAGCAGGTGGCAGGCTTCCTCCGCCTGCCCTTCCTCTGCCTCACAGCCTCCTCCTCCTCGCTCGGTTCCTCTCCGAACACCGGGTCTGTCCCTCCAAGGACTGAAGTGATGTGATGTCCTTCTCTCTGGGGATGGAAGACCCCAGGCTGGGGGACGCTGTCGGTGGCAGCACGGCGATGCCACAGCCCAGTTGAGTGGGTTTTGATTCAAATCCTCACTCCGTGTGCATCCTTGGAGAAGTGCCTTTGAGGCCACGTGAGCATCCTGCGCTGAGGGAGCCTGGACCAAAGCAGCTGATAAGGGAAAACTCCTGGACTGTCCTCCGTGTCCACTGACCCTTGGATAAATTCATCCATATCCCACCCAACCTTGGTCTCTGCAAGCATGGCGAGAGGCAGGAGGAGCTGGGCTGCTCCGATGGGGACGGTGGGATGTGGCCTTGCTGGGCTGTCCGAAATCAGGCTGGAAACAAGACGAGTTTATGCTTAAGCCTGCTCTTAAATTATAACGCAACCCTGCCGAGGCTCATTCTGCCACCAGCCAGCTCCTGCTTTGGGGCTCGGTTTCCCTGCCTGGTGCGATGGGGGTCAGGCTGGCATACCTGGATGCCTCCACGCAACAGCCTGAGGCAACCACAAAATCACCATCAATACATCAAACCGCTCCAATACTACTGTCCTGTAGCTGCAGGTGCAGTCAAACCAAGTGATGGTTAATTTTGGAGAGGTTTACTGCAAGCAAGGAGGAGTAAAGGCTTTGACTTCATTTTCTTGGAACCTCTGCAAAGAGATCTTCGTTTCCTTCAGAGGTGCATTTCAGCAAGAGAGCAGGGGATGGAAAAACCTTCCCCTGTGTGTCCACCCCAACCACAGTTCTGAGCTTGGTGCCCCAGGAATCCATGCTCTCCACTCTTGTTTTCCCCATTGCTGAAGGTGTTTGTGGCCTCCTCCCTCCCCGCCGCAATGGAAGGCCATTTTATATCCCCGCGTCAGAGCGTGCTGCCTCTCGGTGGCAGTGGCTACTGCCGAGAGAGAACTGGGCAAAGACAGACCTTCTCAGGTCAGTGGTTTAACCTGAAACACCTCCTTCAGGGTGATGCTGAGTGCACGGTTTCAGTTTCAGCATTGTTGGGGCTTTTTTTCCTGTGTGTTGCTTTACAGGTGTTTAAAAGCAAAGGGAGGGCCGTTAAAGAAAGATATTCTGCATTCCCAGGGAGGTATTTTGGCAGCTCTGAAGGGACATGGATTATTTTCCTGCCTCTTTTCCCCTTTGTGCATGCTTTTTTAGGCAGGAAACAGTATCTGCCTTTGATGCTGCAGAGTTGAGGGCCTGCAGCCTCCTGGCTTGTGCTCATGGCTGATCCTTGATGCCAGGGAAGAAGAGTGTGGTGGGATGTAGAGATAGCGCTGAGCTACACGGCAGGCTGTGACGAGCTCATTTGGAGCCATAAGCCCTTAGGACTAGGGGTCAACGCCGGGTAGCCCTTCCCAAAATCAAGCTCAGGCTGTATCTACTTGGTGGTGGATCTCCATTATTGATGAATCTATTATTTTTCTCCCTTTGCTGTTAACAAAGCAGAAGGAAACGGGGTGAGCTCCCTCTTGCCCCCGACTCCCATCGCTCTCCTGTCCCCAGGTACCCTTCATGAGCACTAAAAGTCCACGAGACACGCACGGGAAGGCAAGTTGTTGGGTGCCAAAGGCATGCTTCCCATGTGGGAAACTTGAACATGAGCCTGGAGAAGTGGAAGTGGCTTCATCAGCCGGTGGCTGGATGAGAAACCAGCTTGCACCCATGCCAGGCTGGGAGATGGGTGAGCTAATGGGGAATTACAGGCAAAATGCATTGGGGTCAAGTATGGGGCTCTCACATTTGGGATCTGGACACCTGGTGGGTGTCCAGCTGCGGTGTCACTGTTGCAAGAGTGTCCCTGCTCCTCCTCATAGTGGGAGCCGCTGGTCATCGGGAATCACGTGAAGGTCAGATTAGAGGCTCAGTCCTTTCACCTGGGTTAACTAGTGCATTTTGCATCCTTTGGCTAAAACCCCAGCCATCAGCCTCAGCAGGTGGAGCAGGACCTGGGACACAGGGCTGAGTGAGCCCTTGCTGCCTGCAAAGCCTGGTGCTCCAATCCTCCGTGGTCTCAATCCTGCAATCCTGCCGTCCCTCCTCGGTCTTCAGTCCCTGTGGGCTCTCAGCATGATGCTCTGCAGTGAAAAGTGGGTACTTCCCTTTCACTTTTGGAGGAAAGTGGTTGCTGTGAGCTGTGCCAGGTGCTATTAGGTGGTTTTGAGCAAGGTGTAGGTGCACTGAGCAGGATCCGTCCCTCGGGGCACCCTGGCCCTGCACCAAGGAATTGCTGGTTTGTACTGGGGCCCTGCAGGAGCTGAACTGGGGCAGCTCTGGGCAAGCAAAGCTGCGAGTATATGGGGAGCTCCTGGGGTGATACTCATGGGTTTGGGTGGCTGTGGGAAGGTTTGGCTCAATACCTTGGTGGTTACGTGCCTGAAGCCTGCCAAAATCCTGATTTAGGGTTAGGGTGGTTTTTTTTAATTGCCCTTCTC